CCATAGTATCTGGGTTTCAACAAGATACACTCAGGGTATTCCATTGGAAAACATATTGATTCATTTGTTGAATAAAGTCAAATTTTAAGAAAATAAAGACCATCGAAGATGTTTGCAGTTAAACAAAAAAGAGAAAAATTGCTAAAATAGAACAAAATTAGTTAATGTTGAGGATAAATAATCCATGAAAATATTAGTTTTGCCTCCTAGTTGCCATCCTTCTAGTCTCTGCTTAAAAATCCCAGCTCAGACCGAGTTCTATTCGTGGCTCCGGATAAAATAGAAAACTTCTATTAAATGGAGCTTCTTTCATATATTCTTCCATATTTATGAATATGGAAGTTTATATCCTAGTTTCCGAGTATGAATATATATATATATATATAATTGTTATAGTATATAGAATGCTACATCACTAAATAAAAGAAGTAGAGAATGACATGTGGCGGATGTTTATTCTTTTAATTTATCAAGTACCATATTTGTAGGATACTTGATTTTGACTGCAAAAATTGATTTGGGAAGAAGTTTTCTTAAATGAGTTTTAATAGATAGAGCCATTTGCAAAAATTGATTTTGACTGCAAAAATTGATTTATCAACTCATGTTTTCATCTTCAAAATTGTATACAACTAGTTTCTTAATTACAAATAAATAATCAAAATGATAGAGATGATGATCCTACTAGATTGACTATATTCAATCATGTCATGTTTTATTTTTCCTTAGATCATAAAACCATACATGGAAATATATAAGAACATAAAATTCCGGAGGTAAAACTGCTTATGAAATGTTTACAATATATAAACATACTGCTTTGTCCAAAAAAAACATACTGCTTTCTTCTCTTTCCAAATGGTTTTTAGATATACTATCAACACTGGAATAGAGTAATCTTAAAGCTTAACCGTTCATAGATATTTTTATTAAAAACAGGGCTATGTTGATAAAATAGACCAAGCGTATTAGCAGATTTAGTTTATCTGAAAACAACAAAGTTCATGTGAACCTATACTATTTAGTTTAATCATGATATCACTCAGTTAATCTGGACAATTTTCATCATTGCAGGACATCTATCCTTTTGTTAAGAGCCAAATTAGAAAAAGTTGTGGTTCGATGAATCTAAAACGAAATATAACTGAGAATATGTTAAGACGTCTGACAAGTGGTTTTGTTTTTTCTGTTGGAAACAAGTACGGGTTCGTAATACTACGAAACTGTGGTCCAAAACTATCCGTTTACAAATGATAGTTAGTACCAGTCTCATATTACTTAACTAGATTTTGACCCGCTCAACCGAGCGGGTGTTTAATTTCATATATATATTTTTGTTTAATCATTATTGGTATATATTTTTAATAATATTCATATGTTTAAATGTTTATTTATTGTTTTTTTGTCAACTAAATGTTCATTTATATATGCTTATTAATTTTAGATAACAAATTATTGTATATATTTATATAAATTTAAGATATGCTAATTTGTATACATATATTATATAGTGTACTATGTTAACCCGTTTTTACAACATATTATATTATTTTAATATAAATATAATATTTATGAAAACAAAACATATTAATATATCATGTTAATATGATTTTATCATATTTAGCTCAACATAATAACTATTTTAATAGGATAGATTATGATTATAAAATAAATAAAAAATATGATAAAATTTAGTTTTTCATTTTATAAACGATACCGAAATTTATTATTATATATTAAGGTATAATAGTATTTTTCTTATTAATTAAGAAATTAATAAATTTATTAGATTTTAAAAATGAAAGATATCAAAAGATCTTAAAAGATACTATGATAAAAATAGTTACAAAGATTAATTATATAAATATTTTAATAATATTTAATGATAATAACAGTTTAAATTGATTAATTTTCAAA